TCTAAAAATACCTGCGATGAGTTCTCGTTGTATTTTAAAATCAATTAACGGAAGTAAGAAGTGAACGTGACTCACGGAAGCATTATGTGCCTCGAAAAAAAAGAGAGTGGGTCCATCTGCACCTTCTGGCGAGAGTTAGTGTTAAAGTCAACATTCGGTGGCTGATTTTTGAGCAAAAAGTAAGGAGAGGCTTAGTGGGTCACGGTGGACCAGTTTTGCACTTTTTGCCAGACCAGACCGGCCAGGAAGAAATTTCGTTGCATATCATTTCTTTTCTTTTATTTTCTTACTTTTTCTCTTTTTTTTTTTTGGTTTTCCGTAGCCCTTCTCCGTCTTGTCGGATCGCAGTACAAATGCGGATCGGGCGTTTCTAAAGCGGCTCCATTGAATCCCGCAACCCCCCCCCGTTACTTAAAGATGCTGGTCAAAATCGGTTCTACCTCCGCCACTTAAGCGGTACCCTTTTCTCAGCGTCCACGTCTGGGGAACGTGTCTGGGCATCTAATTGCGCATCCCGAATGCAAGCCGATTTCTTATGCAAATTACGTCGGGCTAATGCCCGATTTCCGCCGCCCCATTAGCATTGTCAATTTCCACGACGCTCTGGCATATCATAACCCCCGGGTTGTTGTTTGCTGGCTGGCCTATTGCCTCATCCATGGTTACACATTTCTCGGGTATTACATGATGTGATATCCATCGCCGTCTGGTTCGTCTTGGCTCGCGTGCAAGAGCCTTATAAAGAGTGCTATGCGAATGGCTGGGGCAATCGAATGCCAGATGCTCTGCGGTCTGCACTGAGAATCGCTGCGAGATGGTTGCCACGAGATTACCAGCGGTGCTAAGTTGGTTCAAATTGCCAGTTGAGCGAGTTTTCAATTGTTCCGACTCACTTGGAATGGCTTTTTATATGCTCTTTGTTAAAATACCTTACAAGGCCGATAAATTACGTTTTTTAAGCACTTTTGTCTAGCGGTTTCATCTTCACTTTTCCATTTTGAATTAACTAAATATGATTAGATTTTTGTGTTATCTACCTTTTAGTGTTTCAAACTTTATTTTTATTTTTTTGTAATAAGGCATTCAAAACTATTTTTGAAATATTATTAAATAGTAAAACACTAGAGTCCCAAGTGATTCTGATCATTTTCATCTGCTTTTTGTGTCTTTCTTTATAATGAGTTTAACAATCCCCTAGCATTTTTCCTAATCCCTTCCAAAACTAATTTTACCTAGGTCTACAATTCTAAAAAGTTATTCAGTTTTAAATATTTTTCTCTGTGCTAATTCAACATTTTGAAATACAATCTTTTCAATTATATAGGCATGGCTTTTTTGCGATTAATTTTATTACATCAAACTCCCGTAAAATTGTAAAATGTTGTAAATTTTTCATGACTATTTTCCTGTTTGGCAATCCTGTTAATGTGTCCGGTTCAACTTTCAACTTGGCCAACCAACTCTTTGACATTGGCTTGAGTAATCGGCTTAGCAAGTGGTCCAACTAGCTTGGTCAACGAACCTGTTCAGCTTACCCTTTCAATTTACCTGTTAACTAAAAGGGTTCCCTTATATAAGTGGACGACGGTTATTAGCCTGTTAAATAATTTACTTAATAAGTTATTCTTGGCGTGATTTGATGGTTGCAAAAACAAGATGTTCGAACTACCTTTGCGCATTTCATAGGGTATCGTCAACAAAGCTCCGCCGCACATGCAACCAAGCATGGACCTTAAAAATGACGCCACAATACCGCGTATGCCGAAAATGCATTTTCACATGCCGTTGCAGGCAAATAAATCTCATAGTTTTCCACTTACCATGCAGTTGTCAACTTTGACATTCCGAATTGCCCGCCGAATAGGTTTGGGGATTCATAAAAAATGACAACTCTTATTCTTTTTTGCACAGATCCAGTTCAACGTTTGTATCTGTATCTGTATCTGGCGTAGAGACAAAATTATCTTGTTTCTTTTGCGCTTTTTCGCATGTATCTAGACCAAGTGCCGACAGATGAGTTGAGGGCTAGCAATCTGGGAGGTAACAAACGGATTCTCATGTTTGCGGTAAAATACCATTTCCACTTCCATATCCATTCTTTATGCCACCTGGTAATTGAGTGCAATAGCCGGCCGAAAGGTGAGCGGCAATGATCGCTCCCAAAACAGTTAGTTCCGATGCCAATAACCCGGCAAACCCGGCAAAATGACCCACCACCAAGTGTAAATCGTAAATATTGGCCGCTGTCCAGATACAGCTACTGATACAGATACAGATACTGAGAAAGATATCCGTTCGCGGCACTGCGACACCTTCTAAACTCGACTGACTTACGTCGCCGCGTAGATAAAGGTATTAAGTATTTATTTATAATTGTCGTATAATTGTGGGGCACCAGCAAGCGCCCAAAATAACACTTGACTCAAAAATCTGGGGCAGTACTACCGGGGGCTTCGCACCAAACTTTTTTTTTCAGGGCACCGCCGACAGATGGTTTCGGCTTTTAATTGGATTGAGCGGTGGGCAAAGCGTTCTACGAGATACAAACGTGGATAGCAAGTGGAAAAGCAAACAGCAAATGGAAAACATTACCCACACTTAGAAATAAGTACTGACGTAAGCCCTTAGAAGTTAGGCAATGGCACAGATAATTTAACCCACATTCACGCCTTGGAATTCTTATTTCCGTTTGGTTATTTTAAATAATAACTACTTTCTTTTAGTTATTCACCAGAAACCAAAATTTAGGTCGCTCTCTTATTGATTAAATATTTGTTCATTTTCTGTATATCGTAAACTTATTAAACTCTTATTGGTATTTTACCAACGAGCTAGATCTTAATTGGTCAAAGTTATAGATATTCAGGAAACCAGTCTACCAAAAACAGCAAATGTCAATCTATTGATATACTAATTTATTGCTACAATACATTTCAAAACATTATAATTTAATGAAAATTAGATTTTAAGGTTCAAAATTGGTTTCACATATGGTCATCCAAATAAGAACGACAACATTAATTTCGTTGTTAGCTTTGGATGTTGTCTAGTTTTAGCTAATTAATTTGAAAATATTATCAAATTGTAAAAAGAATATTAACTTATTTGGTGTTTTATTAATTGTTTAAAAATTGTTTAAAAGTACTTATATAAATTACGTTTCTTTTACACCAAACCTCATATAATTTTCTCCGAGTGTAGTTCTGTTTCCTATTTGTTCCCACAGATCTGATAAGAAGAAGCGGAAACAATGAGCGAATAATTTACGACGCTCGAAGCTTCCTTCTGGCCTTTTGAAGCGTTGGCGCAACAAGTGGCCAAGAACTCCTCCACTTTAGAGAACATCAGCACTTCAGCCTCTAATCACAGTTAGCACAGTGGCCAACAAATCGCCATCGGAATGATGGTGCATAATTGTGTGACCCATGCAAATGGGCATTGTCTTTTTTTGTCTTAGATAGATCAGATACTTTGGTGCCGGAGCAGTAGTTCCCAGCCGTCGGCGATGCCAATGGGGCGTTGCTCAAGATTTATGACGCCTTCGAGCTTCCGCTAACCATAGCTTTGGCTATAAGTTCTGCCTCCGATCTGGCATCTGGCATCTGGTATCTAGTTATATGGCAATTGGGTCTAGGTCGTCGGACTGTCTGACTGATGGCTGATGGCGCGGCGGCCACATTCGGTGTTCAGTCAGCTAGAAATTCTTTGCCATCTATTTCTGTTGTCTTTTGCGGTTTGTGTGTCGTACGTAGAACATATATATTTGGCTCTATATATACTCGTACTTTTTTGGGCCCGGCGTGCCTATTAGTATTGAGGCAATTGCAATTTGCCTGACGCCTCTGCCCAGAGACGAGTAAACTAGAAAAATTAGCTAGACGAAATCTAAATACCCTTGTGCAAGTCCAGATGTTCGATCTTTGACAGTTAACAATAAGTTAATGCCCGCCAAACAATTTGTTCATGTCTGGGAAGTCAGAGATTTAATGGGGTGTGCTGAAAAAGATTAATTTCAATACAGCAAGACAGCGTTGATAAGAAAAACAGTGAACTTTAACCATTTCGATTTTAAAGTGTTAGAAGCGGGCAATAAAATAAACATTGTATATTTACATTATCAGGTTTAAAAACTAAAATATTTTAGAAAGTCATTGAAAAATATACTAAAATATTTTGTGTTTATGGGCACCCACTTTTTATGAGTTCCACGTAAGAAATTGAGCAGGTTTAACAACTATGGTTTATAATGACAATTATACCTTTAATGTTTTTGTTGCTTATCATGATTAATGAAAACTTATGAGTTATTTGTCCACACTATAGGTATTAATAATAATGATAACCCTTATCCACTAAGGGTATCCAAAATGTGTCAGCCAAAGTGGGCTGAAATTGGGGCTAGATAAATCTGTTAACTTCCCACATAATCGCCGTGTATTTTCCCCTCTGCGGGCACACCTCTGCACCCCCTATTTCCACCCAGAGTGCAACAGGGTCTTATTGGAAACTCGTTTCCGTCCACCTTGGCTTTGTTTCTTATTAGCTTCTTAGTCAATTACTTTTTTTTATGCATGCTCATTGAGGGAACACCCCCGCTGCGAAAACTCAAAAGCAAAAGCTAAAAGTGAGAGGAGAGCAAGCTTTGATCTCTCTCTTTTGTCTGTTTACCTTTTCATAGCTCAATCAGCTGTTTTAGCTTAGTGAGAGCGACTAAGCAGCGAGTGAGAGAAAGACAGAGAGAGAGTGCGGCTGAGAGGATGTAACTGTGAAGTCAGCTTTAGTTGATACGACGCTTTTTTGTCAATTGCTTGACAACAACAAAAGAAAAACAAGAAGAACAACAACATCAACATCAACATCAACGGCAACTGGAGAGCGCGTTTTAACTGTGAACGAGAGTATTTTGTAGTTCCCGCTGCCGCAGCGCTGCCCGTGCTCTGCCATGGCGTTTTCAGACGTCTGCTTTCAGTTTTCCGTTTTCTGCTTTCAGCATTCATTTGTTATCGAAACTTGGCGCTGTTAAGTTTGAACGACGCGGTCGCTCTTCTCTACTTGCTTTTCGGTGGGTTGTGGCTCTCTCCGCGAGCTCTCTCTTTTTTGGGGCTCCCACGCGTGCTCTTCCCTCAGAATAAATCGTTAATTGGCATTTCGCAAAAAGTAGCGAAGAAAATACAAATGTTCAGCGCAATAATCCCGAAATAATCGCAGTGCAGTGCAATACATCTACAAACAAACGGGGAAATCAACGACACAAAAAAGATACACTGGCGCAATCAAGAAGCTTACCGTGTGTGCGTATGTGCCTGTGCTCAAGTTCACGGTGTTTGTTTGGTTGTCAACAACAATAATATAAACAACAAACACAAAAAATGACCAGGGAAATTCCTAAGTGAAATTGTACAGCAAATAATTTATCCACAACTAAAGTACATAAATAAATTACAAAGCACTTAAACTTAGTAGTGAAATTCCTTAACATAATTCTTAAAAAGCATTAGTATTTTCATCTGCTAAAGCAACCAATCAAAATTCAGGGATAAAGCTGCATTTAAGGTCTATAAATCAATCTTTCCTATCAATGCAAAAAAAGTCTCTTAAATAATTACCTAGAAAATGGTTCTGTATTAACACAAGTATTCTGTACATCTCAAAGTTAAAGGTTTTAATAAAAAAAAAACCTTTTCTCAGGGGTATATCCCCATTACGGTGCTCAAAAAAGATAAATAAAACTTTATTGGCTAAAATCAATCTAAAAAGAAACAAAGAAAGTTTCTTCGCAAAAATTCCAAATAATAATCACATCAACATCGAATAAAAACCAAAACAAAAGTGTTCAGCAAAAACTCCCTCGCTAAAATAGTTTTTGCCCTATTTTCTTCAGCCCTTATCAATCTTGAAAGATGTTCTACAGCGCGCCAAACACGGCCAACTATGAGATACAGATACAGGCCGTGTATCCGAATGTCGAACAAGCTGTTGCTATATACACACACGTATGTGGAGGAAGATAAACAGGAGTTGATTGCGGTGTTGTTCAATTTGCCTTGTCTATCTGGGTGTCCATCTGTATCTCGTGGCGTCATCGGCGGTCGCGCTGATAAGCACTGATAAGCCATCTAAAACGCTCACTATCTCGCCCGATTTTCGCTCTCTCAGGGCGTTGAATTCAAGCGTTAAATTTTTGTTTTTATTTTTTCGCTGCTTTGTCAGCGTTTTTTCTGCGTTTTTTTGTCGTATGTCTGTCTTTGCCGGCGACCTTAGACTTCATCAAATCAAATTTTTTGCCACCATTTTGCGCGTTTAAATTGTCCCAGCTATATATGTATACTTCACCTATAAATTAGATTCCCTGGCTGAACGTCGGAAAAAGTGTTTTGTGTGCGACTCTATCAAATATGCAAAAGCCTTTGTAATTAAAATGCAAAAGAAAACGCGAGTGCATAAATAATTGCCATCTTTATAATTGTATCTGTTATAATTGCATTTAATTCAAAGCGGAAATACTTACAGCCACAAACAAGAGATTTTCCCATAACAACAACATAACAAGGAGAAAACGCCAAGCCATTAAAAAGTAAAAACAAACTACACCATTATTGAATTAACATACAATCAAAGGCCAGGGTAAGTTTCCATTTAGTCAAGCAAATTAATTAAATTGTCTGTTGTTTCCATGTACTTTCCAAGAAATTGTATACACTCCCCTTTCCACCTTTTTTGTACCTCTAATTTTTTCCTGGCCAACTTACGCAGTTGAAAATCAATAAGCTTTGACTCTTGCTTATTCCTGGCTGAACTTGCCGACGTTTTTCATTAGCAACAGCTGATTGCACAAGCTGCACCCACCCTCTCTCCAACCTATTGCCCCTGACCAGTGCCACTCCCCCCGAAGCGGACCTTCCCTCCGACCCCCGCCGCACCTTCATTAAGCGGACGCTTAACCTTGGCACGCCTTCGCACACACAGTGAACACACCTCACGTAGGACACAAGCTGGGAAACTCAATTCACAAACCGCACTATTTAAGATTTTGATCTTTATGGAAATTTAGTTTGCTTAGTTATCTTAAGCCTTTTAATAATTGTTTAACACATTGTATTATGAATGATCACGAACTATCTGGGATTCTTAAATATAATTATTAAGCAAATTACATTTTCCAGGCTTATAAGAGAATTCAATTGGAGTTATGTTTCCTATAAATTTGGCCCCTTGTTAAAGTGTGGGCTAATGGGCTACAAACCCCAGTTGTTATAAAACATAAACATACGTTAATTTAAATGACAAATTTTAAAGCTAAAAACAGGTAGCTAAAACTACTCAGATTTTAACAAACATTTCTTTAATACTTAAATACTTAGGAATTTTTATTCTGATTAAGTGAATCAGAATATTTAATTATTTGAAGTTGTGCACGAAATTCAGTTAAACATTTGATAAATTTTAAAGTTCACCTCGCTCTCAGCAGTGGGTTGATTAGTTCACTTCCGCAGAGACCCTACTGTTTCCTTGGGTGGGAACATTGCTTTCTCCGCTCGAGCGGTTTGTTGGTGTTTTTCTTTTTGTTTTTGTTTTTGTTTGCGCTGGCCTGGCTTCCTGGCGCCTCATTAGCTTGCCTCCCGGTCTCCGTTTGTTTGCCCGAGTCTCAGCCATGGGATACGCTGCCCACAGACGCTCCCACTCCCGCTCCCGCTAGCACTTCCACGCCCCGCTGATTGTCTCAAGTGATGCATTTGCTACTTCATCGTGTCAATCAAAGTTGAAGTCCCCGCGTGCAATGTACAGGGGGCGGGGTGAAGGGGGGTTAAAGGGGAGTGGCAGACAGTCATCTAATCAGGCCAAAAGTGAAGGAAACACGGGCCGCAATAACAAACCCAAACCCAAGCCGAAATATAATCAGCTTTTGCTTGTTTTGACGTTTCCAGGACATGCGTATCCTTGAGCGCTCTCTTGTGCAGATTTTCTCTTTCGACATTTCTTTCTCAATTTTTCTCCCAAAAGCTTTCACCACGTGACTGTGCTCAGCTGTCATCATCTGTACTTTGACTTTCATTAAAATTGCCGCAGGCGCCAAAGACATTAAGCTTGAGTCCATAGCTTTTTCATATCCTAAAGCTCTTTGGTTCTGCCTTTATATATATTTCCCTTATGTCTTTGACCACTTGTTGATCTCATGTTTAAGGTTCTTCACTTCTTTAGAAAGTCTCTTTTCGCGTTAAGAATTTATGCAAATTTAGATGCTTGTAGCTATAAAAAGATCTTAGATTGATAGCACAAAAAGAAACCATAAAAATCATTTTCTCATGACGTGAGCGTTCTATGTATCATTTTGGGGCAAACTAACTCATTTGCTAAAGTGCAAACATAATTAAGGCCTTGGTGTATAAATCTTGATTTAAAGGACTGGATTATCTTAATAATAAGGGTTTCTTAACACGAAAATCGTTTGAATTTTAACAACTACAATTTCGTTTGATATATTTAAATGACATGTTGGCAATCTGGGAAACATTTATTTTCATGAAAAATCAAGATGACAATTGCTTTTTTTAATTCCTCTTTGTGGGTTTTCCTCACATTTAGATAACTCTTTTCTCCTTACTTTCACTCCAATCTCTGTGAGCTGCTGTACTCCGCGTTCTAAAGTGAAAGGAAGTGTGTGCTTGGTTTGGAGTTGATGCTGCGATGCTTTCTAAATGATGATCATTTAAGCCCAAGCACTTGCCATTCACAATTGCCCACGCTGGCCAGACATTGTATGGTACTATAAAACTATATAGAGCAGCACCCACGAAAAACCACTGACCGACAACATTCTATTTCAATTAGTGTAACTGACCTATGCCATTTGCTGTTTTGCAATTTTCTCCGCCGCCGCCGCAAGTGGGGGAACATTAATCAGCACGATTTCAACCCGTTCGGGGTTTTTGTTTACACACACTGGCATTCATGCACAACTTCAGTCTAATGCCCAATGCCGGCGGCGGCAGTCTGAAAACCAAAAATCCAATAGCAAACACAAACAGTCGTCGAGTACTCAAACTCGTACTCGTACTCACACAAGAAGACAGTTTGCCCATAAATATCGCGTGAAACTGCCGCATTGTTTCGGATTTCGGATTTCAGATTTCGATTTCAATTCGACCCATTGAGAGTTCGCATTGCTTGTACTTTTTGTTTTGCTATCCGACTTGTTTTTGTTTTCTTGCCTAATGGCTTTTTAATATACCACCAAATAAACTTAAAAAAAAAATTATAATTTTCTATACTTATTGAGTGCAGAGCCCGAGATCGTGTGGGAAATCTGAGTTTGTCACGGCTTTTGAATCGACTTATGGTATAATTTTAAAAGAATCAACAACTAATTTACGTATATTATATTATAATTTACATATTTGTCTCCAAGAAAATGTTGAAATATGTAATAGACCCCACAAGAAGCTATGCCTTATCTTTTCTTAATTTGTTAAATTCTATTGAAATGCCATAAATGCCATCTTATTTACTTCAATAATAAACATTTTTTAAAAAGAGCCTTTTGTTTTTAAACCTTCCACTAGGCCTTTTTTATTTATTCAGTTTTATATCCGGTTTTTTTTTTTCATTTAAATAACTTACCGTTTTGGCCAACTCATTATCTTTTTGCATTCCATAAATAACATTGAATCACGCAATGCTTTTATCGTATAATCGGTGGGGTATCTGTCATCCATTCATCAAAAGGTTTTTATATGTATATATCATTTGATCAATCATAGTTAATGCTGTTGGGCAGCGTTTAATTGCATTCAATTTGACGAGTTGTTGGCCACTATTTATGTAATGGCTGGAAATTTTGTAAATAAAAAGGGGAAGCTCCGGCATTGTTAACAGCACGCCATATAATATTTAAAAATACAAACTCTCTTACATACTGATGCCGATGCATCACGCCAATTATTAAATATTTATTAAACGTCCTCCTTTGTAGATCGATTTACAGTTAGTTTGACCCACCCGCGAACCAGTTTATTACCATATTTTTTTGACCACCTCTATTTCCCCTTTTTTCGCGTTCTGTTCTGTTTGACAAACTGTTTTTTTTATTGCATTATTAACGGGCCAATTACACTGCCAGGTTATTATACAATAAATGGTACATAAAATGAAATATAAAAATGGACGTGAGCGAGTGAAACTTGTCCGGTAAACACAAAAAAACTGTCAAAGTCGTAAAAAGTGTGTTAAATTAATTTTTTTCGCTGCTTAAGAGGCCAGCTTATTTTTAACAAATATTTCTTCATGAGTAAGCTTTAATAAATTGAATAATTATTTATTTCAGTTGCATGGTTAATGGGAATTTTATGGCACCTGAACTTTCTATAAGTGGAATAGAAAGTTGCTTTTTATTATCTTTGTTTCCAGGAGCTTTGCCCAGATGGCGCTAATGTTCACAAAGAGCTTTGTCCTGTTTAGAAGCTGAAATCCTTCGAAAAGCTTACCTGTTGCTCCTTTCTAGGTCTGAGTAAAAGTTCAAAACAGATGCTGACTTTTTGTGTATTTCTCCAGATTCTGATGGCTTTTATTGAGCCGCCTATTGATATGAAATTGTTACTGATAACAAAATATTATGAATTCTTTGAAATAAATAATGATAAGTTCGACTTTTAAAAGCTTAAGGACTGTTGCAAAAAATTCTGGATTCTGTGTTATAAATCTAAATAATTTATGTGTTATTTCTTATGGAAAGAAGTCGCTCATTGATAAGTAATTCTTTAAAATCAATAATGACGCTTTTGACTCTGCTTACTCATTGCTTATAGGAACAGTTGCAAAAAACAAATATATTAAAACACTTATATTTTAAGATTTTTAAATAGCCTTAAAAAAAGTGGAATGGTACTTCTTAAAGTAAATTTTAATATTGATTTTAGCTGTTCACAGTGATCTTACTTTTTTCGTGCAAATAAGGTATGGAAAATACGTCGCGTGGTACAAAACGTGCACAGCACAAGCAATCACAAATAACAACAATAGTTAATACAATCACGAGTACAGAAATCACTCAACAACCCAAAATGAAATATAAACGAAATGAGTTTCACAAATGTCACGTTTTATGTAACATTCGTTTGTTTTAGTTTCGTTTACCTATTGCATTTTGGTTTGAACGAAATAAATTTATGCCGTATTAATAAAAATTGCATACCCAAAAAACAACAAAAAATTAAAATATACAGAGCACAAAGGCAAATGACAATTACTTCTCATAAAAAAAATCGACTTTAAAATGACTTTACCGGCATCAGGAAATTAAATTTTGTCAAAAGTTTAAAAAACCCACTGCGTACATAAGACCCATCAGAATAATTGTCGGAGGTACAAAAAACAAAAATGCGAACGCTTAAAGCAAAATGCAAAACAAACATGAAAGAATGCAAATAATATGTAAACCACATAGAAACGTGCGATCAATGATGGGCATTGAATTTAAATGAGATAACCAACGGAATTGAATGGATAAATTTGCAACAATGCAAACGTTGTAGGATTAATGGTATTATTTGTTTGTAAACACGGTAGCTAACACTTTGAACTTTTTTTTACAATAAGTAACAATTAATTTTATAAAAATATGGTTTTCT